AACCTGAACATTGTAGCTATTTTTTTGATCAGACATATAATTGTGATGACAGTCAGCTGCAGGGATCGCCTACAAAGTACAGTAAAAAAGGAAGTAGAGCTTATAGAATTGACTGATTTGCTTGCCAACCTGACTGCCTACATTGAGTCTAAATCGAGTGGTAGTATACACAGATCACATGTCTGCTGCTGAGTGCATTGGAGGCAGATCTCTCCAATCCCCTCAGCAAGAAACCCTTCCTGTTCCTGTGTTGGAGTCTTGCATTTGGACCATTTGTAGTATCGGGCCCACTTGGGCCATGTCATATTGTGGCTGCTGAGCCCATTTACTACCCCTGCCCCAGCCGTCATCATTTACTCCATCCTGTCTCATTCCAGCCACCCCCCTCCTATCGGGAGATTCAAGACACAAGCAAGAGGCAAGTTTGCATTTTTTCATTTCCTCATTTTTGTTGTCACATGTGTTTTTCTCTTGGAGAAACTCCCTCTCAGGCGAAGTTGTTTTGTGCCGGGAAACACCGTTTGTTTCTTTCGAGTTGGAAAGCGAACTCCCGGTACAGTGTAAGGGATGTAGTTCCTCCTCTTTGACTGCCTCTGCAAACCCCCCCTTTTGTACAATACTACAATGTACAGTAGTTACCACTTTTGGAAAGTAATTACCACTTTTGGAGAATAATTACCTCTTCATTGACAGAGGTTTTCAAACAGTGCTCCCCTTTTTCGTGTCCTTGTTTGTGGCGATGGCCTGTGTCCTGATTCCACTAGCTGCAATCAAGCGCTTTCAAACATCGATTTCGACAGATCAACATTCAGAAACACTTCATCCTCATGGATAGAACTTTGCCCCTGGGCACCCCGGTATATGTCATAGTTTGGCTTCTTTGTCAATGGGGCTTTCGTGTTCGGTGTTCAGTACAGTATGGGCATCACGCACATAGAGAGACGTGTTCAGCGGGTTTTTAACTGAAACTGGTATTGAAATGGTCCGAAGTACTGAAGGAAAAAAAAAATAAAAAAAATGGTCCAAGTACTCGCCAAGTTCCACCTGGCATACGTCAATGAACATTCACATGAGAGTTCACACGTGAGAAGCCAACCGAGATACAATCAACACGTGAAGATGTCGTCTCCAGAATTGTTATCAATATACAAGAATATTTGTCTCCAGCATCTCTTTTGCACACACACACACACAGACACACACACACACACACACACACACACACACACACACACACACACACACACACACAAGGGATCGCAACCAGATAGCGGCTATGGCTCCTCTCTCCTCTCTCTCTTAGTCCTGCTTCTCTCTCTGCCTTGGCTCACTCCGCCTCTCTCTCTCTCTCTCTCTCTCTCTCTCTCTCTCTCTCTCTCTCTCTCTCTCTCTCTCTCTCTCTC